AGTGGAAGCCCAAAATCTCTGTAAATGTTTATGAAAATTAATAAAATATAATTATAGAAAAAAAAAGACTAAGTGGATGACTGAGTTGAATCACACAGCCAACCAGTATTATACAGAACAACAGTTAATAAAGGATTGAACCAATATGCCATAAACCACCAAAGAATCACACTGTACATGCTCAAGAAAGCTCACCTCTGTTAGGTTCCTGGTAAACCTGCACTTTGCCCATCTCAACCCCCAGCCGCCTAGAGAAGAAAAAAGAGGAAATAATAATAAAACACACCTGATATCTTTATTATTTAAGATGATTCATAAATTGGCATTTAAAACTCCTACAAAAGGATAAAATGGCAATATTACATTCCTATCACTTACTATCTCCCCAGGTACTCACCAGGCCTTCCATGACCTAGCTCTGCCTACCTCCGCAATCACCTTCCTGTGATTTCTGCATTCAAATGACTTTCTGTTCCTGAGATACAAACATTCCTCCTCACCACAGGGCCTATGAACTTGCTATTCTCTCTACCTAGAGGGTATGTTCCCAGACATCATTGTGGTACATTCATGTCCCTCAATTCAAATATTATCCCCTCACTTTCAAAAGCTAAAGCAGAACAATTTTCTCCATTATTATTTTTACACAATTTTTTCAAGCATTTACCCCATCTGAAATTATCTTGTTATTTGCTTCTTGTCTGGTTTCACCACTAAAATATAAATTCCATAAGGAGGATGCATTAAATAGTGGGTTACTCACTACTGCTGATCCTCAACATCTAGATCAAAGTCTAATAAACCCAGGGCTCAACAAATATTTAATATCTAAAATTATACTAAATAGGAAGCTAAATATAGTTTTCATCTAGTATACCCTTTACTATCCTTTTCATTCTAATAATTCATTTAGCAATCCCTGGCATACACGAAGCACTTAATAAATAGCTGCTGAGTGAACATGGAAGAAATGGCTAACACTTAACAGAAAGGTTAGTCCTGCTGAAGACTACATACAGTTTACATTTAGATTAAAATACTTGCTTTCAAGTCTAACCATCAGCAAGAATCAGATTATCATATCTAAAACATAAAGGATACAGATTTAACTGGTAAGACTATAACTCACTCAGCAATTTTCTTTGAAAGTTCCATACATGATGAATTTGAATTTGCTGAAAACAACACCAGACCTCCTTTGGGTATGTTCATCTTGGTTTCTAATTCAGATGGTGCCACACAAAACATCAAAACCTTTTTGGCTTTCCAATTCTCAGAGCCTCGAAGGATAAAAAAAAAAACAAAAAAAAACACCACAACAAACCCAGATTAAGAACTACCACACAGGGAGTTCTGGTGGCTTAGTGGCAAGAAGCTGTACGGCAATCCCAAAGGTGTGCAGTTCAAATCCACCAGATGCTCCACTGAAGAAGGAGGGGTGATCTCTTCCTGTGCCAGCTGGATCCAATTGACAGGACAAGGCAAAAGAAAGAAAAGGAAAAAAACAAACAAATGTGAGGGGGGAAGAACTATCACACCACACTGAGGGAGCTCTCATGGTGTAGTCCACAGGAAGTCGCACTACTAACACAAAGGCTGTGCCTCTGCTGATCTGAATCCATCAGCTGCTTGAAGAAAGAAGGACAACCTCCTCCTGTTTAATTTGAAGCCTTAGGAAACCTGCTGGAAGATCAGTCATGAGTCAATTCCAACTCAACAGCAATAAACAGGAGTTTGAATTTTAAAAATAACACTGAAGATTACTTCAGTGAAGCAAATGAAGAAAATTCATTTTCACCATGGTAGTATGTTTTATGTTACCCAGAGAAAGCTTGCTTATGTTTTAGGGTTCTAAATTGATAGAAATATGCTATTCCATGATTTTAAGAGTATTCATGACCAACTGGAATAAGTGATACTTACAAGAAAGGTAGAGCTGAAGAGCCCTGGGAAGCTGATGAGTATACTTAATACTTTGCTGCTTAAAGTCAATTACATTCAACCTCCTTTTACTCATTAACAAAATTCCTCCTAGATTAATATAAAAAAAAGTCAGAACAATTACGGATACACAGATTGATTTTAAATAAAACATAACTAACCTATCTATAGTTGACTTTACCTTTTTTATTTATTTATTTATTTTTATTTATTTATTCTTTTTATGTGTGTACCGTCAAATTGGATCTGACTGGTACAGGAGGCGATTGCTCCTCCTTCTTCAGCAGAGCATCTGGTGGATTTGAACCATGCACCTCTGGGATTGCAGTGCAGTTTCCTGCCACTAGGCCACCAGAGCTCGCCGAGTTGACTTTACCTTTAACATCTGTTTGCTACAAAATCTCTCCCAAGCCAGTCAGTTGTCCCTGAAATGTTCAGATTTTGTCAAAACTGACCTTTATCATCTTCATTGGCCTCAACTGGAATATGAGGTTGACTAAAAACGTCACTGTCTGAGTTTAGTGACTTTAACATACAGTGTGAGTGCCAGAGTAGGTGCAGGAGAACCCATCTGAAAGGTTGTGAGGCAGGGAAACTCTCCAGAAAGCCGACTGAACAACTATGAGATACCATCTCACACCAGTAAGAATAGCAAAATTCAACAGAACAGCAAGCAACAAATGCTGCTGAAGCTGTAGAGAAACTGGAACCCTTATTCATTGTTGGTGGAAGTGTAAAATGGTGCAACCACTATGGAAGGCAGTATGGCGCTTTCTCAAAAAATTACAAATAGAAATACCATTTAGCCCAGCAATTCCACTATTGGGAATATACGCCAAAGAAACCAGTTCTACCACCCAAACAGATATATGCACCCCCATGTTTATTGTGGCTTTGTTCACAATAGCAAAGAGTTGGAAACAACCTCAGTGCCCATCAACAAATAAATGGATAGAGAAGCTGTGGTATATTCACACAGTGGAATATTACGCTGCATTGAAAAACAAGGAACTCATGAAATATTATTCAAAATGGGTGACCATGGAGGACATTATGCTGAGTGAAATATCTCAGTCACAAAAGGACAAATACTGCATAGTGCAACTGTTGTAAAATGGGACTGACATTGGGGTTGGGGGAGAATGGAAAAGATGGGATAAATAATGTATATTGCTTTGAAACAGATGAGGGAGAGAACTGTTTAAAAGGGATATGTGATTGGGTATTAGTGTCATGACAGGAGTCCAGAATGAAGGCTGTACAGTGGAGTGGACCTGGGGAGAGGGACTGTATAACAATTAAGGAATTTTACTTTTCAAAGAGAAGAACAGGGGGGGGGAGGAGTGGGCAGGGAGAAAAGTGCAACAATGAATGAATGGAAATCCAAAGTCTCTGTAAATTTTCATTAATTGTTGTTGCTGTTATGTGTTGTCGAGTCATTTGCGACTCATAGCAACCCTATGTACGACAGCCCTAAACCCTGCTCTATCCTGTGCCAATCGCATTGCCTCTGACACACCCATCCCGATTATCCCAGTCACTGAATCAATCCACCTTATAGAGGGTCTTCCCCTCCTGCGCTGTCCCTCCACCCTACCAAGCATGATGTCCTTTTCCAAGGACCTGTCTCTCCTTACAACATGCCCAAAGTATGTCAGACAAAGCCCCAGAATCCTTGCCTCCAAGGAGTAGCCTGGTTTAACCCTCTCTACGATGAATCTGTTTGTTTTCTTGGCAGTCCATGGTACATTCAATACTCTTCTCCAGCACCACAGCTCAAAGGCGTCAATTCTCCTTCTATCGTCCCTAGTCATTGTCCAACTCTCTGATGCATTCATTACAAGTGATTGCAAAAACCCTGGCCTGTATCAGGTGGACCTTAGTTTCCAGAGAGACACCGTTGCACTTGAGTACTTTAGAGAGGTCCCTAACAGCAGACTTTCCCATGACAATGCGCCTTTTAATTTCCTGGCTGCTGGTGCCAAGAGTGTTGACCGTGGAGCCAAGCAAACTGAAGCTGTGAACAAGCTCAATCTCTTCACCATCCATCCTGATGCTACCTATTGGTCTAGTGGTGAGAATCTTTGTCTCGACATTGAGCCTCAATTCATATTGTAGGCTGCAGTCCTTGACCCTCTGCAGTAAGTGCATGAGGTCCTCCTCAGTTTCAGCGAGCAGGGTTTTATCATCTGCATAACGCAGATTGTTGATAGATCGTCCACCAATCCTAATGCCATGCTTCTCCTCATAGAGCCCAGCCTCTCGGATAATCTGCGCTGCATACAGATTGAAAAGGTATGGAGATAGGACACATCCCTGGTGTACACCCTTCTCAATTTTGAACCATGCAGTGTTGCCCTGCTCTGTTCTGACGACTGCCTCTTGGTCCAAGTATAGGTTTCACATTAGCACAATTAAATGTTCTGGGATTCCCATTCTTCTCAGAGTCAGCCACAGTTTGTTATGATCCACACAGTCAAATGCCTTTGCATAATTAAATTAATAATAAAAATTTTTTTAAAAAGCCGACTGAATTTCCTCAACTCCTGTTTGTCTGAGATGGCTCTGGCTAAACTGAAGAAGCCTAGTCAATTTTTTGTTATTAATTTTAATTTTATAAATAGCATACAAACATAATCCCCTTACCAAAAAAACAAAAAAAATACAAAACCAACAACATAACAGAACAGTTAAGGTTCAAGTCATAATCATCAGGACAGACTCTTCCCGACCTCTCACTAAATGACTCATTATTTTAGTGTAGACCCTTGTCAGGCCTCTCCTACACATGTACATCTATCTATATGATCCCATACATAGGTATCACAAAGGCATGTTTCTAAAATAAAATGGCAACATCATAAATATCTGTAATTTGCTTCTCCACTAAAATTATATATTCTTTATTTTAATGTAGAATGTTTTGGGCTCTTACGTGGCATTTGAGCTCTTACTGTCCAAGGTTCCACAATGGAAATACAGGGACTACAACTGAATTTATCTTGCACATACATATTACAAGCAAACACAAAGACATGTCTCACCAAAGCCCTGTCCCCACAGGGGACACTGATGTCTACTAGATACTGCGTTGCTAAAGCACAGGCCTCAAAGCTCTAGTCCACAAGCCAAACCTGACCCCACTTTACTAATTAAAATTGTATTTATTAGATAATCATATTTATACTCATTTGTTAACAAATGGTATAGGCATAAAACACAGAGTTGTGTAGGTAACAGAGATCACATGGCCCAGAAAATTTAAAACACTTACTTCTGGCCTTTTCTGGGAAAAAAGCTTACAAAAGTCCACCTTAGAGCGCAGTGCACAGAATCTGTCAAGGGAAGTGAGATAATGCAGACTCAATCAGTGATACTTAGAATTTTAAAAAATTATAGATGTCTTAGTCAATATGCCCTGGTAAAGGAGCTCTGGTGACCTAGAAGGGTTAAATAAACAAAATGTATTCTATCTTAAATACAGGCTTTGAAATCAGACTAAGTTTGCATCCTTAGCTCCCACTTTGTTATTATATACCATTGAGTTGGAATTAATTCATAGCTGACACTCCAGTGGCCTTTCAGAGGCACAGGAGGAGATTGTCCATCTTCTGCCCATGGAGCAGCTAGTGGATTTAAGTTATGTACCTCTGGGTTGACAGTCCAACTCCCTACTATGTCACCAGAGGTCCTCTACCAGCTTACTGAGTCCTTGCCTATGGTAGTGAACCTCTTTTAGCCTCATTCTCTTAACCATGTAACTATGAAACTCCACTTAGTTTCTATAAATCATTTCTGTATACTAACCACATGGCTGATAAATGGAAGCAACATATAAGTCATTCTCTAATATTTAGAGTTATCTCCCCAATAAGCACAGTAATATGAATGAGGCTGTCATCTTTTCGTAGCCCTCAACCTTGAAATAAGAAGCTATGTACAAAAATGATCTTATGGGTATCTTTGGGATATTTAGTGAAACATCTTAAGGGTAAAATCTTAAGATATTAAGAGGAATTTGGTCCTGTGCTCCTTAGTCTCCCATTTGAAGCCCACCTCCAGTATCCCAGAGCTGTAGTGGGGCAGTGAGTAAAGCACTCAGCTAACTCAAAGCTTAGCAGCTCAAACCCACCTGTTGTGAGAAAAAGATATATAGCCGTCAGCTTTCATAAAGATTTACAGACTTGGAAAGCATACAGAAAAGTCCTACTTTGCCCTGCCATGTGATGGAGTGGAAATCATCACTGGGTTTTGGTTCCTACCATTCCTGCCAAAGAACCACTCTCAGGGTGTTCACAGTCCTCTAGGTATCCATCCATTCCTAATTCTTCCT